CTATTATGGTGGCAGATTTACTGCAGCGTACGCTTACAGCTTGCGCTACTATGGATTTGTCCGAAGGAGGCGGACGCAGAAAAGGAGCAGAGCTAGCAATATTGGGAGACCGACCCAACGCAGTTAGTCTTCTTCTGGGCCCTACATATATACCGTACCCAGAGAACTGGGTAGCATAGAAGTGTACGCTGCCTTCTAGGTGTACGCTGCCTTTGAGCAAATATCGTTAGAAAAGTGATAACTTACTTCGGCGTGCTATAAACCAAATCAAACTACATAATGTGAACAAGATATTGAAATTGCGCAGTAATAGGTGATGTCAAAGAGAGTTTATGAACAATGCCTAAGAAGAAGCGAAAACAAAAAAAAATCGGAGAGAAGACCACTGCATTACTCAATGAGAGATGACTATGCAACTTACTATGCAACTTTCAAATTCTCCACCATCATAAACGCGCAGCGCGTGTTGGGACGGAATTCGCACCAAAATTGGGACAGAAACAACATGCTTGTAGGCGGCACCTGATTACGGATACAACATCATTTTTTTAATTTTTGCAAAGTTCGGTCTAAGGAGCTGAGAGTTAGCACAGGGAGTAAGTGAGCATGCTGATCACAAATATACAGTAGGGGCAGTGAACTGGCATATGGAACTTAAACAAAATCAGAGAATGGTAATCTTTGGTAGTGTAGTGTATTTACAGGGACAGGCAGAGCCGGGCCTGCCAGCTACTCTGAAAATATGATTGTAACAAGAATTCTAAATCATTAAACCGTACCACTTCGCCTGGCTCGTGGATCTTACCCCCCCCCCGTCCTTCAAAATTTCAGATGAAGAACAAGTTGTCTAAAGGCTTCACATACTCCCTTCATTGTTGGGAGCGAAAATAGCATAAACCTCCTCTAAGGGACCTCGCTTCTCATATCTACCTATGATCCTAACTTTGCCATGAAGTAGCCATTTTTGTGCAAGACTCTCTTTCAATCGAAGAAGTCAATGAAAATAAATGACCTGTAGCAGCAATTCATGTTACCATGCCTGTCGAGTCTATCTCAAGAGAGGAGCCTTCAGATAAGAGCAAAATCACGACTAGTGTTCTACTTTTTCGTGTTCGCCTATCATCCGAATTTCTTTGAAGGTTTACGATGATACTTTGCTTGAAGCAGCCGTCCAACGAGTCCGAAGACCCAGTGAGCTCTCTTTCTTGAAGTCCCCTACCCGTTCGCGCAGGTTTCGCAACGGATTCGTCCGTTACGGTTTAAGTTGGTCAGCCAAGTCTTGGTAACTTGTATATCCATCCGGTGCGTTTAAGTAAGGGACCAGGAACTCGGTTGAGAAGTTCTTACCCTCTGGCAAAGGAGAACGTCCTGCACATTCCGGCAAGTGATCGGGTATACCAATCTGTGCCAAATCAATTTTTTTCACTTTGTTGATGCACGTACATATACGTATAATGAAGCCAAGGCAAAGAAGTGTTCAAAAGCTATTTTATTTATTTATTTATTTATCTCATACGCACATTGGCGTGCTCTAACAAATTTAAAGAGAACTACATGATACGAGGGAGATACATAAATATAGAGGATTGAAAATGGCACTGACGATAAATTAAAATGACACACCCGTAAGTAGAAATTCCACATGTAGAATGAATCACCAACGGCCTCCCCCAGCATGCCAACAGACGTGTGGAGACAAGTAGCATGGACAAGGCTGAGGCCAGGCAAATGGATAAACCGGCAGCCCCTGCCGGCATACCCAAACGGGCGCACTGGTAGGGGGCCCCACCAGTGCGCCCGCTCACCGTACATCCATCCTGCCAACGTCACCAGGTCCCGCAACCACCATTGGCAAAAAAGGGCAAAGCTGTGTATTCGGAAATATGAAAGTCTAATTTGGGCATGTAATTTAAGCTTTCTAGTTAACCGAAAACAGACCGAAGCGGTAACCAAGTGCTATTCCGGTAAGAGCGACGTAAATGCTTAGAACCTTTTTGTTCAAGACTGAAACAAATCGACCACATGATCTCTGGCTACACTGTACATATTTTGCATCACATAAATTAAGTTTTTGAAGTCTGCGATAATTGTTTGTCTGAGAAAAACTCCGGCTCTTCGAAAACAGGTAACGCATAAGAGAACCAAAAATTATCCACGGTTTTGCTGCAGTTGGGTTCATGACGTCACAGAAAATCGAGATTTTCGAAAAAAAATTTGAGTCCAAACGGCAGATCAGAAGGATCGAAAAGCGTTACTGCTAGTCCGAGATCTGCTCTATTTGCAACATATTGGTAACAAAATTTTACGGGCTTCAAATGATCATTATAAAGTGCGATTCATAATTATACGAACACCCAAAATTTCATAAGTTTTTGGACTTTTGGGAGAAACTCAAAAAGCCGTTGGTACCACGCGATAGAACACCGCCGAAAACGGTATATGATCCATAAGAATGGAAATCGATGTCAACTGTAAGAGTGTTTTTGCGGTTAATGCGAATTTTTAGCGGTTCATAATTATACGAACACCTCAAAGGTTCCTTTTCCTTCAAGATTGCAATCATTTGAGTCCAAATTTTTTGTAGAGTTACAGTAACAAAGTCTGACATATCTGCTATATACTAAACCCAGTGCAGTTCAAAACGAGGACCATTACTTTTTTCAGAAGGCTCTAAATGCTTTTGGAATGATTGGGCTCCAGAAACATCCGTTCATCTGGGGTTTACGCGCTCTAATTAGCTTCTACCGAAGCTATGAGATAAAATAAGCTCCTTCGATAGGTATTTTGTTTGACGCTTGGAAAATCTTTGCGTTTTCGTGCCGCTTTTCAACCAAGTTCCAACCTTAGCACAAAGTTAGCACGATCTCGAGCCTCAAAACTCAGCTTCTGAAGGCGTACAATGAAGTAAGCATATAGTATGTAGAAGTTTACAGGACTTTATATTTGGCTAGAAAAAATCAGCAGCGTTGAGCGTTTGTTTTGGTCACGCAGAAGTTATTTCACCAGAAATACTGTTTTTACTATTGCAATCACACCTTTATATGGTTTGTAGCTCCACAGCCGCAAGATCAGTTCTAGAAAAAATCCAAAACCTTTGGTACAGAAATATCATCATGCAAGCAATGCAGCTGCTTCATATCAAATGTTTGCGCAAGAGAGAAGCTGAGTTTTGAGGCTCGAGATCGTGCTAACTCTGTGCTAAGGTTGGAACTTGGTTGAAAAGCGGCACGAAAACGCAAAGATTTTCCAAGCGTCAAACAAAATACCTATCGAAGGAGCTTATTTTATCTCATAGTTTCGGTAGAAGCTAATTAGAGCGCGTAAACCCCAGATGAACGGATGTTTCTGGAGCCCAATCATTCCAAAAGCATTTAGAGCCTTCTGAAAAAAGTAATGGTCCTCGTTTTGAACTGCACTGGGTTTAGTATATAGCAGATATGTCAGACTTTGTTACTGTAACTCTACAAAAAATTTGGACTTAAATGATTGCAATCTTGAATGAAAAATGAACCTTTGAGGTGTTCGTATAATTATGAACCGCTAAAAATCGCATTACCCGCAAAAACACTCCTACAGTTGACATCGATTTCCATTCTTATGGATCATATACCGTTTTGGGCTGTGTTCTATCGCGTGGTACCAAAGGAGGCTTTTTGAGTTTCTCCCAAAAAGTCCAAAAACTTATAAAATTTTGGGTGTTCGTATAATTATGAACCGCACTTTACAGTAGACACATAGTAGTGATGCTCAAACGTGCTTTCACTTGATTTCCGCGCTTAGAAAGCGAAAAAAGATAGTCCAAAGTGGCAAAATCCGCCCTCAGCCCCTCCCGCATATGTCACTATACTATAAGTCACTGTCACATATACTATAAGCCTTAGAAATGTAACCTCAAACTTTTACCTCTGTTTGTGCTTCGGTAATCGAGAAATACCAAGTTTAACATTAAATCCAGGAGAAAGTGACATTTTTGCATTTTCTGACCATTTTGTTTTCTTAATTTTGAGCCCCGGAAAAAACCCACCAGATGCATTGGGCACTATGTGTCTACTGATGACCAAGATGGAGGTCCGTAGGGATTTTCTGGCGGAAGATCCGATTTTTAGGGTAGCCGAAAAGATTCATTTTGGCACCAAAATTTCCTGAATGACTCAGGCAGCTCAGGAGGGTCTTTGGAGGACATTTTGCTTCGCTCTACCAAATGGTGTCCTAAGTCTGCTAGGAAGACAAAAACAGCTTTTTTTAATTTGAAAAAGAGTTCACTTTTGGGACAACCTAATATTTTCTCTTTTTAGCAGCTTCAATAAAATTTTCAAAAATTAGCCGAACTTTGAACAGGTAGATATGATGGTGGGAATTTTGGCAGTTAACAAAAAAGTTAGAAAGATTAAGGTTCGGAGATGGAAGCATCAGGAAGAGAATAAAATGCTGCATCGAATGCATATTCAAGCGCAGTCAGCTGCTCATTATGCGAGGTTATATAGTCATTCAAAAACGACAGAACTTTCGTGGCTATCATATATAAAAAAAATAGGAAGAAGAGATTGAAGCTATGGTTGAGGGGTATAGAGTGGACTCTAACTTTGGCCACTCTTTAGTGCGGCTTTCACATATCGTTCATCTTCCCCCACCCCTCCCTAAACAGTTATAAATATATGAGATTCCTACTGAAAGTGAGTAGCACAAAGCTTCTGTGAAAAGATAAGTGACTGTGGATCGTAATTCTCTATTGACTCATTCGATAGAAATCTATCGCATGTAATAATCCTACAACAGATGGCGAGTTTACGATCATGTTTTACATCGTGCCTGATTTGCGAGAGAACTTCGTTGTGTAACAGACCCAATTTTCCTTTTAAAGTAGCGAGCTGTCTCGGCGTTCACCGTGCTCTCTCCACCGTGTGTAGAATTGTAATTTTTGGATTATCCGCTCGAGTCCCACTTCCTTGGCAAAAGGTCAAGATAGTTGCGTAGCTTGCTAGTTTGGATATTCCTATGCAATGTCAATTCGGTATTCGCGACGGATAAGTTCTATATTTTGGGTAAGTCTTACTCATTAAAGGTTTTGCGTTAAGTTTTGTTTCTTGAGGTTGAATCCGATTATTCTTTTATGTGCTTAAACAGTCCTTTTTTGTTCCACGAATTCAAATATCACGAACTTTTTTATTTATTCAAAAAATCTAATCCAAACTATGCGAATTATACTAATCCACTATTGTCCAATTTTCCAAAAAAATCTTTATTCTTAGCCAGAAAGTGAAGTGATTTTGAAGGCATTATGACCTTTCCGGCATATCTGATCACGAGCAAGTCAGAAATGTTTACTTTTTCTTGCCGTCATATTTTCTGGATTTTAGAGATAGTTTTTTTTAGCTAGTTTTCCACTTATTGCAGCAACGAGATCCCCAAAACAATGCAGGAGAGACCAAGGAAAAAATCTTTTAAGTCTTAACTACGCAGCTACCTTGGTTGTAAATACGGTTTGATCAATGGTAACTCTGTTGCATAGAACTGATCTGAACTACAGTTTTTGTGATTACCGTAAATCTACAGTCTACAGTCTAATCTATCTCACTTCGGTGTTCTCTTTTGCTGTTGTGGTTGTCATTCTTCGGAACTTCCGCAGCACGTTTGCGGAACTTCCGCAGGTGACCCGGCGGAACTTCCGCAAACGCTCTGCGGAAGTTCCGGTGATTTGTCTGAGTATGCAGCTACCTTGATTGTAAATACGGTTTGATCAATGGTAACTCAGTTGCATAGAATTGATCTGAACTACAGTTTATGTGATTACCGTTCTACAGCAGTTCGGACACTAACCGTTTTTCATCATCACATGTGCATTCAATGCTCCGTGCAGCAAAAACTTCGAACTCTGCTAACATTTGCGATGAGATTTTCGAAAATGCTGATTCCGAATATGAATTTTGCGTAAGCAGTACAGCCAAATTTTGAAGGAAACTAAGATGATAGCCGTGTGTACCTTATACTTAGGACCGGGTATTTTTCGAATATTTGTATTCGAATGATTTATTCGAACTAGAAAAGTCTATTCAAGAAAGTGCATTCATTTGACTATTCGAATAGTCGAGTAAATGAAAAAGACCTTCATTCAAATATTTATTTATCCGACAAATCGATAAAACAACGTATTCGAAATTTTACTCGAATATTCGAATATTCGCACGGTATATTAATCTATAGAGACCCACCAGGCCCTGGCACAGGCAATTTTCGACGCCCCAAGAGTGTCAACGATTGGGGGTTGCTCAAAGCATGTACGTAGAATTTGTATTATTACATCGCAGAAAATACAACTCGCCTACCTACTGGAGGAAATATCACAGCATGAAATTGTTTTCCCTCAATTGAAAAATTTGATCGTTATTGTATTCTAACTAAGGGTCATTCCAGATTTCCTTACATATCTGGTGCTTGTGTCTGTTTTATCCAACTATGGGTTGTGTACCTACACAAGGAACAACCACGACCACAACACCGTCGACAACTACCACAACTACCTCTGAAGAAACGACTGGTACCACTACCATCGTTTATACTACTTCAACTACAGCAACACCGATAACTACCACAACTACAGAAACACCAACAACTACCACAACCACAGAAACACCGACAACTACCACCACTACAGAAACCACAACTACAACCACTACAGTTCCTGCGAGTATGTAAAAGTTTGTCTGATTTCCTGAATTAACTGGTAATTACTCAACCTTACGTGGTGCGGCGATTACGAATTTCGCGCTAAAAACAAAGCTCCGCCTCAACCGTTGAATGTTGCTCAGTACACGTCCTGACTGAAAATAATGATTCGGAAGCAGGGGAGCTTAGATTTTTAGCGTTTTGCACATCTTGTCCCCTTCTACATGCCCTGGCAAAAAAAAGCTGAAGCAGTTGATAGAAGTGTTTAGACTGCTGTCCAGCGCTGACACAGACTCTGACAACGAGTGAATTCCCCGATGGTCTAATGACCTTCACTTACGATGACGATGCATGTCGTACAACGGTGGTAGCAACATGCTCGTAAGTACATTTACAATATTCAAGGACATGCACTCGTACATTTTGCATTGTTTAGGCAAACTGATCCAGCATTCGACTTATACGCCGGAATTGTTGCAAATGGACAATACTTTCTTGATTATGGTCCCAATACCATAAGTTTTCCGGGCACATGTAATCCAACACTTCAGCAATGGTGAGTGGTACGTTAAGATGTAGAAGCGCTGAGACAAGGGCTGACATAAGGTGGCCATCAGATACATAAACATATGTGGAATTACAGGATAAGGCCGCTGATTTTTCAACAGTACCATATAATCAGTATTTGGACGGAAAATACCGCATCTTATGAAGATAATAACCCGATAAGCCAAGCACCTTAATGGGAGAGATTGCGACTACAAAAAAAAATAGTGCAACCTCAAAAAAGCTACTTCTTACCATCGCGAAGCACTCATCTTACTCACCAGCCCTTTATAAATCACGTGATTGCAAGACTGAGCACGCTAATTATAAAATAAACCTGATCCACAAAAACGCTGATTTATTCATAAAAGTAATTCCGCTCAAAGATTTTTTTATTTGCGTCCAGTGTTGGTGCTAGAGCTCACTTCAAAGCGCCCCGTATTGTCCGATCGACACCGCTGGCACGGCGCTAGCACAAATTCTGGGCCCGCGCTCAGAATTTCGCTTATTGCTCTCTTGGCCCCCCGTAGTCCAATTACCCTAAGAAATCTGTCGCGACCATCGATTCGCAACGTCTAAGCCAGTCAATAAACTCCATTTTACCGCCAGATAATCGCTGGAGCGCTACACTTTCGCCTTGACGGGTTTTTCAGCAAGGATGTATGAAGAACTAAAATTTCTCGAAACTCAAAAAATGACGGCGGTGTAGAAGGAACTGAAGGCCTCATACTAGTATGTGCGGGAAAAAAGCTAAATGCTGCAAGACTTGACTAAAATCCTTGAAAATTCCAAATAAAAATCCAAAACCCAGCAGGGACAACTCTCCCGTTTGAATTCCAGCGCCATTTATCAGCAGCACGCAAAAGATACAGTCACAACTTTTCAAGTCAATATTTTAGAAAACAATAATCAGTGTACTAATATTTTACTAACAATGACAAAACGGGGGTTCGTATTACAAGCAGTAAAATCCTGTCTTGTCAGCAGTATTTTCAAAGGAACGTTTTCACATCGAGAGTGTAAACTAATATTGGGTAATATACAAAATCTCAGAAGTCCGGTTCAGTTGTCTAAGAGAGTCCTCTGATCCCAGCCAAGAAAAATCTTATTTATAGAATCTGCGCCGAACTCAAGTATCCAATTTAGAAATGGTGGTAAATCCATCGAAGGAAATCGGTAGATTAATCATTTCTTTGCTCCTCAAAGTAGTCACATTTCCAAGGTTGTTTAGTAAAAAATCTACTCTTTTCCTGAGCTACTTTTCTAATCTTTTTTTTTGAATACCTTAAAAGCCAAGAAACCATAAATATCGATAAAAGTATTTGCAGGGAGATGGGAGAACCGCCACTTCTTATCACTTCGCTAGAATGTCGACTTACAAACCCACCGTCCGGATAGATGAACGCGGGGACTCGGTTATTCATTATTCATTAACAAGCTGACTGTTTGCAACCTCAGACAACATTCCACTACAGTTTGAAAATCAAACGATGGTACATTTGAAATGCTCTTTGATCTTCCTGTCAGCTTAGGGTCAAACAACACATTCTTCTTCATGTAACGGGTCTAGGAGTTTTTCGAGATATCCAGTTGATCTTGATGTTTTTTACAATTGTATTTACTTTTCCTATTTGTTATAAGCTCAACAGTGACATAAATTTTTGCAGGGTGCATGAAATACAATAGAACAGCTCATACTTGTATAATTGAGCTCTTTGATACAAACCAAGAAAAGGGAACATGTCGTCGGACTTCTAAAATTGGAAGTCCATTTGTTGTGGCTTGCCACACAAGCTTCATCAACAAACAGAATACACTAAAAATCATAATGCGCCGTTTATGTATTTTTCAGATTCTGCACTCAATCTTTATGGAAACGAAAAACAGATACGATTCTACATTTACTTATCTATATCGACTATCGAAGTTACGAAGTTTTAGACAATTGGCCAGTCCCATTGTCCTTTTGGCGCTTCTTCGACAAGCGGTTCCCATGCTCGGGATTCGATCACTGCTCTTGCCGCTTCTAATTCATACTCTGCCTGAACAACGAAAGTCAGGTGACTGAAGATGAGAGAACCTGACAAGATTTCGTTCAAACAAGAGATATCGGATAGCATTACGGAGTTGCTTTTCATTTACACGCAAATTTTACCGCACAATCTCGGCACCGCAAGCACGCCATATCAGCGGAGTATCTACTACTTATTATTAGTTTGCTATGCAATCTTGAGTGTTGCAATGAAATCCGAACCGGTAGTAACACTTTACAAGGTTTACTTTCCGATAGCAAGATTTATGCTGATCAGACCTCTTAAAGTTACAGTCTAGTAGATTTTGCGCCTGGTATAGGGCTCCTGCGGTGCCAAGATCTTCCGGTAAAGTTTATGCGTGAACAAATAACCAAGCCACTAACGCCAGCCACTTGCGCGCGCAACTAGCAGCATCACGGACTTGGCTATTCGTATACGGGGAAATTTTACAGCAGAATCTCGGCACCGCAAGCACGCCATATCAGCGCAGTATCCACGGAAGATCTTGGCACCGCAGGAGCCCTATACCAGGCGCAAAATCTACTAGACTGTAACTTTAAGAGGTCTGATCAGCACCATCTAAATGACTTACGATGTGGAAAAAGATACCAAAAATTCAACTTTACTATTTCCCTTTCTTCAAATATCATAACTCTACATCCATAAGCGCAAACTTAAACAAGTTAGAAAAAGTGGCATAGAACTTATATTACTAGATATTCGCGAATGCGATTATCAGATTTTTGGCGACCTAGCCTACAGTTAAAATCTGAGTGAAATTTTCTGCTCAAATCGAAAGGTTTCCCGCAATGGAAGGCTTCCAGATGCTACTTCTTTAAAGCCAGAAACTCATTCTTTTTGAAAAATCAAACTAAATAACTAGATTGGAATCTAGGCTGGTTGGGTAAGTTGCAAAAATGTAATAAAGTAATATCTTTTCGTATACAAAAAATTGTTCTTCCACTTTGAAGCTCGAGTAACGTCTGTAACATAAATTCAAGTAAGCAAGTGTAGCTCACCTGCTCGATCACCTCCTCAATCTGACCCATTCCTATTTTCTGTTCAAGCTCTGGGATGCTGTCTTCAGACTGGACTAATGCAAGCCGTTGCTTAACAATCTACAAAAGGCGATTAGCAACCATAAAAATCCATTACAATCAACAAAAACATACAGCTTCAGTGTACTTCCTATAGGCCGCTGTGGGCGGGATTTGTTCCAGTGCTTTTAGGATACGGCAGTATACCACGGTAAGAGTACGGTGAGGATGCTCGTTGACAAAAAGGCCTGTGAGTCCGGTCGTCTAAAGAAAAGAGAGTAATCATCTAAAGAAAAGAGAGTGATCAAACTAAGATTGTTATCAAAATATCTCAACTCCATTTATCTCCCCACTGAATCAGTTCAAGTCCAGTCCGCAAAATCTTTCTGGGAATGGAAAGGGAGTGAGCTTGTTTAGACACATATGAAGTCATCACAGGTATAGAGGTTCAATGGAGTCTGTCTCATGCCCCCTGCTCTTAGCAAAAAATGCTCTTACTCAACATAAGCAATTGTGTATGTTGGAAGCAGGTGTATTGGTAGTAATATTGATAAAACCCGCCCAACCAAAACTCTGGGGAGAAAACAGAACTCCGATAGAAGTTGCACAATGTTGTTTTCCTTGGCAGATAAACCCTATGATAGGACGATGAACAAACCTACATCGAGATAAGCGTTGTTCGTACACCACGTAACAATTCAAATGTGAGAATACGAAGTAGCAATCAAAATGTCTTGGACGAAAACGAACCTGTTTATAAAAATCTGGTGAGACCTTGCTTCGTGCTTTGAATCGCGCGATGTAGGGGTTTTTGTACATGGTTCTGATAGCGACTCGGCTACCACATGCTGCTCGAACAAGTTTAGATGCACTGAGTGACATCTGAAAAGAATTGCATTTGAAAAAAATATTGAGGACAAACCGAACGACTATGCTACAATGAAAAGCACTAAGCAAAACAATATTTTGAACTGAAGACTATGAACCGGAAGCACAAATATTTACAAAGAGAAGTATTCTAGTCTTGTAAGTAGAAATGTGTCTGACAATGTAGACTCAATAATATATGAAGAACAAACAGATGGGTTCCATTACTCTTATAATGTAAGAACAGGCCCGCTTGAAAGGTTGGATTATTTGCTTTGAAATCCGTAATTTTTGAAAAACTGCAAGAAGATATAGATAGGGCATTCCGCATACTGAAAGCTGTTGAAGAGCTCATCCAAAAATACAAAATACTTTTCGTGTATTCATTTTGGTTTTCCGCCTTAGCACTTCATAGCACTATTAATGTGGCCCCTTTTCCTGCAGTAAAATCAATCCATTTCTACTTCTATATTCATTCAAAAGAACTCTTTACCGGGCAAATGATGCACAAGCCCTCAATTTTTGCTGCTTTGTAAAAAATCAGGAGCTGAAACCACCATGCGTAGAGTCAACTGTAAGTAAACTTATCTACAAGATAGGGAGTTAACTTTCACCACATCCAAAACAAGCATAAACAAAAACCTACAAAATGGAAAAGAATCTGCAAAATTTACTGAAAGGAAAATGAAGAAAAGTAATTGCGAATGGAGCGCGACAACCCGCATTTGCTTTGGAGCAGGCGCGGCGGATGCGAAACGTCGCCGCAGTCGAGAGAGTCGCTACAGTCGCGACAGTGTTGTTCCTGGATTCTCCATGTTCTGTCTCGATTCCTTTCTCTCTTCGTTTGCTTCATTCTTTGGTGTTTTGTATAGTGTACTCCGTACAACCATCTGTATCGGGTTGGTTCGAACAATGTGCTTTTTAGGTGCCAGGAAAGTAGTGGTACTGTCTACAGCTAACAAATCGAACATGTTCTCCTCATCGGGGTTCTCCCTGGTATCTGCGTTCTCAGACGATGGTCAACGTCTCACCCGCTCGCAGAAGATACATCGGGGTATGACTTTGAATATATTTGTAGTTTTGGAGTGACATTTTTCACTTGATTTTGTCTGTTTTTCTATTTTTTATATACGTACAAAGGCTTTATAATGTTGCTGTGCTCTGCAATGATAGCATCACTGTCAAGAATATACGTTCATCAGCGACTTTTCCATATTGAAACTTCCTGTTCTCATTAATTGAAGAAGCTCTTCGCTGTTCACTGTCTCTCTCATCAATAACCCAATACACCTTGACCTTGTTTAGCCTTGCGGAATGTGAACTTTTGCAGTTTTCTTTCGGACTTTTTTCCTTTGGAAAGGAAAACGTTTTCGACTGTGACCTTCCTTTATTTGAAAAAATTGAATATTCATCTTTTTCTCACGAAACGAATACCATCATTCTTTCGCCGAAGTTAATTGCTTCTTCCAGAAATAGCTTGAGTTAATGCATATGTGCTCCTACCGGTTCTGAGAGGCGAAAATTGCAGTCATAGTCAATCAACTCCTCTTCCCGTCGCCATTCCTGTTTTGGGGCTTATTCGGTATTGCAGAAAAAAAACGAAAGAACTTCTCGTGTAGGGTTACATTTTCAGTTTCATCGAATTTGAATAACCTTTGACTTGAACTCAAACACTGTAACAGACTCGTGCTCATGTCCTTTGTATCTCATTTTGAATACGCACACTAAGGTATTGTGACACAAAGTGCATTTGAACTCATGATACTAATGAGAAAAGTGCGTTCGCTGTGTTTAATGTGGGACAAAAAATAACTTGTTGGCTTTGTTTTTGAATCACAGATTACCGTAGCCCCAGTTCACATTGTGGCCATATATACATAATGTTCGCTACTTATGAAAATGGGGTACGGTAGGGTGACGGTAATCTCTGCACTTTGCCATTACCATCATAGCTTTTCTTAGGAACTCGGAGTTTTTAAAGTTAGTCTCACGTAACAAAAATACGGGGATACAGAAATTTAAATGATGGTATTAAATTTTCAGTGTTCGCTTTTTTCATTGTTTTGAAAAATATCAAACATCCTTTATAACCGTTAATAATCATAAGTCAATCAGAATTTCATGTCTTATTTCTAACTGCGTTTTTGGGGCCTATGCCAATAGCCAGTTGTGTACAAAACATTCTTATACTCATTGTTTAGAGAATGAACGAACAAACTTGCTCACGATCACAAGGCTCGTTCTACGGGCTTTTTTGGAGAACACAATGGCAGACAACAACAGAATACTGGAATGTGACACACAACAAATTAGCGATTTGTTGATGATGCTGGAAAAAGTTCTTTGGCATGGTTTCAAAGCTCCAGGTCAGTGATCTTCGTGGTCTTCTGTAAGTGTCCAATTAAGGCCCGTATGCACGTACATCCCCGCTGGGGAGGGGAGGGGATTCGAGAGGGAATGCGTCATATCTCCCTACTTTAGGTATCTTTCTTCTTACTTTTCTATCTCGCTTATAAAGGTTATTGTACCCTAATACCTGCGCATAATTGCTGCCAGGTTACCGGCATAATTGATTAGATTTTTACTATTTTGTGTGATCCCCTGGGGATCTCCAGGGGATCACTTCTCAATTTCAGTGCCATTTATCTTCCTAAAAACTCAATGGAAACGCTGTAAAATTGTACTGTGGATATACTACGGCACTGCTAAAGATGTTTAAAGTAGAAACAAGTGAGATCTCAGGATATCTAAATCTTCGGTAATCCCTGGCTCGAAAGCTAGGGATCATCGAAAAATTCACAGTCTTTAAATTCCATTTCTCCTGTCGAAATCATTCTTAACAGTGCCGTAGTATATCCTCAGTACAATATTACGGCGTTTCCATTGATTTCTCAGGAAGATAAGTCACTTTGAGAATGAAAGGTGGTCCCCTGGGGATCCCCAAGGGATCACACAAATTGGCAAAAAACCAACCTTGTATGAAAGTAACCTGGCATCCGTTATGCGCAGGTATAAGGGTATGAGAACCTTCATAAGCAAGATAGAGAAGGAAGAAGAAAGATATCTAGAGTACCGAGTTATGACGCATCCCCTCTCAGATCCCTTCCCCCTCTTCGCGGCGGGGATGTACGTGCATACAGGCCTAGGTGAGAAAGTTTTGATTCTGATTTTCTGATTTTGAGAGTTTCTGATTGCTACTCAAAATGCCTTGTTAGTTGCTCGGTTATACCCAGATTTTTTTGTATCGTGCTTCGAGCCAACCTGACAGTTGTATTTGCTTGAGACTTCGCGCTTTCTTAGCTTTTCAAAATTACAAATTGAACCAATGGGAACCGTTTTACAGGACAGAAAGCACTGATTGTGCTCAGAAGTCCGGATGCGGAAATGTGGGCGGCAATCAATCGGATAGCACGAGCAGATCCTGCGATGTTGGAGACGGTAACGTGTGTCGATCAAATCGAATCATTACTGTATGGTCGCTTTATTTCATCTACTATCCATTTCACCAAATCCATTGACTTCAGAACACCAATTTCTCGTCTGCGCGCTTTTCTTCGGTTAGCTATGATGCAGAAGAAGCTTTTCGATTTTTTCAATGTCATTGCGAACTCTTCGCAGTTGAGGTTCATTATTTTTTATTTGTTTCGCTCATGCAGACATGAAGTCACTACAGTGTGTATATTTAGCACTTTTTATGAATCCTGGGCTCTTTTGCGGCAAGAAGAGATAGTACAGCTTACCGGGGCATTGCTTGGATTGTCAGTTGTCGACTGCAATCTAGTGTTAGAGCACGATCATCTGCAGGTCCACCTTTTTTGTATCTCCTATCATCACGCCATCTGTCATGAAGATTTATATTTAAGGATCAACCGCTAAGCGTCGATCTATCCCTGTACATACGCATTCCAACTGTCCCAACCGAGGGAGCTGATGATGTCACGGCAAATGGAACCTCTACTAGCAATAAAGATAAGAAATTATTACTCGATCAAAACAACTACTTAGAAGAAAGAAACAGACAATTACAGTGAGTTATCTGTGGATCTGTATCTGTAGAAATGAAGTGTAATCACACAGGTGTAATGTCGAAAACCTCAAGAAAAGAATAAATGTATTGGAAAGTGACAAAGAAGCAGCAGCCGTGACTGTGGAGAAAGAGGTGGGTGTTGAGTTTTGATTTGGTTGTTCAGTTGCCCGATTTCATTTATTTATGTCCGACTATGATTTGTAAAACTTTTCGCGATAACTGTGGATTCTTTGCAATGTTTCTATCTCATTTTCTCTTGATAATTTTCAGTCAGTAATCCACTTGGTTACATTTCTGTTTCTTTTTTGAATTTCGTTGCCTGAAGTTTTTATTTTTGAATTTTTTTCTGACAACTTCGCGAAGGTGATCTGTCACATCTGCTTCTTTTCGTCATCTTTAGTTCGAAGTTTTAGTCGGTTGCTTTTGGTCTTTGTATATCTCTGACCGCTCCGATGCATTCATGTGCGAATGCCGCTTTTTGGTGGTAAAGATACTCGTTCGCGAAATTTATCCGAAAGCTCTGCATGGTTAGGAGATAGATAAGGATTAATTCATTCGCTCTCTCATTGATTCTCAAACAGCCAAATATCTGAACAGCTGCATAATTGTATGACTTGAACATTGAAGCCTCCATATGTTTCTGTCTAGGATATCCACTTAACAAATGTAAATTGCAGCTGGTTTCTTTCAAAAATATCGAAAATGCTGCAAATGAGCATGCACAAAGCAGCAAGGAAAAGGAGTGGGAGGAAGAACGAGAGCGATTACTTGGACAAGTAGGTTTACGTCTCTTTTCATACTTGGTGGATTTACAAGTGCAGCTGTTCAAAAGAAGAAGCAGTAATTTTTCCAGATTGTAGAAAGGGAGGACTCGCTTCGAATTGTGCAGCAACAGTTGGTCGACGTCAAGAAAATCAACACTGATCTTTACGACAAGCTGAAATTGTCGGATGAGAGATGTCGGCGTCTGGAAAGAGATGTGGGAAGAGTCAGGGAACAGTACGTGCAGGTAAGGGTGGGAGTAGTTTATACTTTGAGGAGGATCGCTACTGTTGGACGATCATGATCTTCAGCAAGTTCAGCATTTGACTTTAGGACACTGAATCTTTGAAGAAAACCATTTCTAATTTGGAGGTGTCAAATGCCGTACTACAAGAGAATGCACAGAAAAGACATGAGAATGAGGGTAGGTCCTGTGATTCTGCACCGTTCATGCTGAGCGTAGTTGGTTATAGAGACAGTTCGTGCAGAACTAGAAAAGAAGTATGGTCAAAATGCCGAACTTGTTGGTACTCTACAGGAAAAGCAAAACGCATTAGCAGAAGTTAGTTGGAATTTTGTGGCACAATCTTGTTGGGGAATGCTTTTTGTTACTCGACTATCTCATTCAATCGCAAATTCAGGCTGAAAGCGAGATTGTCGTACTACGTCAAAAAGTGAACTCTCAGGAAAAAGAACTCAAGGAGATGCCGTTTTTGAAGGAGGTAATACAGTGAAGATTTTCATCTGCATGCATTCTATATGTTTTCTGCAAACTTTCTTTTATCACAATCGAATAAACTTTATGCGCTTTGATGACTAATGTATGACTTCTTTAAGAGGTACTATATTAGTTTATATGCGACGAAATTTCACATCATCACATAATCCAATATTTTTCTGCATCATTTTTCATTCATTACACTCTAAAAACTTTTTATACTTTTTATACACTGCAATCAATGTATGAGATCATCAAGAGCGGGTCAAGAAAATATTAGGCAAGGTATAGATGCTTTCCAGAATGTCTTTTTAGGAACTTAGAGAACTTCAGGAGAAATACGACTCTGTTTCGGAACGGGCTGATCAATCCGAACGTGCTTTGGAAGAGCTTGGAGGACACTTGGGCGAGTAAGTATTCTCACTCTATCTTCAATTCTTCGCATTTCAAAGAAAACTTGATCAGGTCTAAGCTGAGAATGCTTGAATTGGCCGAGGAATTGTTGCCGCTTTCTGATGCGCAATGGGCGAAGGATTCCGACGTTACGCAGTGTACAGCATGTTCTGATAAATTTACCTTATCGAAACGAAAACATCATTGCCGGTTAGTTGCTTGCTATGGTAATCATCTCCTTCGCAAATATTTTCAGGATGTGTGGGTCAATCTTCTGTGACGCCTGTAGCGTGGCACGAATAAAGTTACCATCCAATTCGAAACCTGCGAGAGTTTGTGACCAGTGTTACAATTTATTGAAGAGTCGCCAATCTGGTAGTATATAATAGTCATAAGTTACTGCGATACACATTTATGTGCTCGTTTTCCGCATGCTTCAATATCACAATCAAAATATCATCTGGTTCCTAGAGTAATCATTATATCTATGAAAACAGGGTAGCAGCGTATTGTGATTCTATTCTAGTTGCTATTATCTGTGATCATCTTACTCATTTCATCTCTTCCGTGCCTTCAATGGGATTCTGATAACTTCCGTTATTAAATCACATGATGTAACACATATCTCTTTTCTGCTCTTCATGCGTTGTATGTATATACGAATCATAGCATGTGCAACTTTGTATTGATTAGTTTTTGTCGTGGGTACTGATTTTCATGGTTACAACGTACATGATAATGTGATGAAAGGGCTCTTGCGGTCTACCTCTGCTTATAGGCAGTGTCAAGGCAATCGGGGCGCATGAATTTTTCGCATGGAAACTGTTGAGGATCTCCTAGCTAAGACACTATCCAAGCTGCAGCGCAAATGATCCATTCGCGGCTGAGAAATATATCTACAAACCTTTCGCGCCTGCGCCATGATCAAAACTCTTAAGCGATTCGACTCCGATTTCCTCTGCTTCGAGCTGGCACCGTCCTTAGTCACAGTCTAGTTACGTTCATTGCGCGCGAGTAGGTGGAGGTGGGTTTCTCAGCCTTGAATTGATCATAATCGCTGTCCCTGAGCAGTCCTTGGTTAAGACCTCCTCATCAGTCTCCAAGCCAAAAAATATATGCACCCAGATTTGCTTGAACACTGCCTTTGTCACCTTTGACGGTGCTGATGTTCCCTTAGGGTACTCGTCTTCAATAAATTTATTGCTTCTTTTGTGTAACAAACCCTGCTTTCAGGTATATTCGTACTTTTGGATGTAAATGTGAGCAAAAGCGCACCTGCATAGCCGCTCTAACTTCGCAAATGTCCAAAAATCCTAACAGCTTGGCGTGTGTGTCTTTGGGCAATCAGGGCAGTGCATGTGCAAGTGTCTACGGTTGTACTACTCTAGCTCTGGATCTCCGTGATTGGTGATCTGTTTATCCGTGATGGGACTGCAGAATCCCTTGCCTTCGGTGATGATGATCATATGACCGTTGGTGTTTATATTGTGTGTTCCCCTACCAACGTCTTGCAGCATCGGTGATTTTAAGAGGAAAAATGAGGAAATAGAATGAGTACCCTTTCATATGTGGAATCCTGCATTAGGGTGTCAGTTTTACGGTGATTCCTTTCGGTAGCGGGTATATGGAATATACAGGGTGGCCGAAAAGTATGGGCGCCATGTTTGATCGTGTCCACCGTTTGTTGGTTGGCGCAAAGAAAATTATTTTGGCTTCATAGTTCGCAACAAACGGTCGTCTAATTACTAAAAATTGTGAAGGCGTTCCCTCACCGCGACGTCATGCCGGCTTTGCTGAACACGGCAAGTCCGCGGCAGCTATTGCGCGTAAGCTAAACACGCCTTTGAGGACGGTCAAATAATCATCAAACAGTGGAAAGAAGAAGGAAATGTTGCTCTAAAACAGAAGACTAGTCGTTTGCGAACGGTGAACACCAGAAGAATTCGAGGAATTATCAAAAAAAATCCAGGAACGACGAGGTCAGCCTGAACAACATCGCGAAAAGACTGAACCTAGCACGTTCGTTGGTCCAAGCTATAGTGGAAGATGAATTGGGACCTCAGAGCTACCGAATGCTCATTGGACATGAAGACCAACGCAGCAAAAGCGATTCGTCTGGAATAATGTAGGAAATTGATGTAATTTTTCGAGGTGTACCGCCTTGAGAATGTCTTATTTACGGATGAGAAAAAGTTTACCATCGAAGGATGTCGCAGTCCCCAGAATGACCGTCAGTTAATCACTCCGAAGGATGAAGAGTTACGATTGCGAAAAATCACTAAAAAGCCATTTTTTTTCTCCCAGTCTGATGGGCAGGAATCTCAGCGAATGGTAAGACCGCTCGTTTTCATGACGAAAAATGTCAACATCAACGCCACTGCATACCAAGAGGAAGTTTTAGAAAAGTACGTCCTTTTCTGGAAAAGATGTCATCCACAAATGATATTTTAGCAAGACTGGGCACCGGCGCATCCAGCGATTTCGACATTAAGGCATCCTCAGCTGACCCAGATGAATACCTGCCCAAGGATGTTCGGCCGTCCAACGGTCTTGATTTGAACCCGTTGGACTGTGGAGTGTGCTAGAGAACAGTCTTAAGGGAAAGAATATCACAAGTCTGGAGTGTCTGCGCAAAGAGCTGGAAGGTGCTTGGACGAAAATTGAGGCGGCGTGGCAGGAGTTCCCAAAGCCTCGCCGACTTTCCCTGCAGGAGTGGTTAGCACCTTCAGGGAAACCTGGAAGAGACATCACACCTTCACAGGTCGAGGAACGGCTCTTCCTTTTTCTCCGCCTTCTGAGTGCGCTCATTCTAGATTGTGCAAGCGCGGTGAAATCTTTGTATTTATAAAACCAATGAACCAACTAAATCAAGCTAATTCGAGAAATTTCGTTAGTTGAATTCAATTTTCTTTTAAACATTAGAAACAGCCAAAGTGTGCAGATAAATTCACAAAATCTTGGTTAGCAGTGTTAGTTATGTCTTAAAGAAAAGTAAAGCAACATATTTTTCGCCACCTTACCTGCTCCCTTGGAAATCTTTTGTTATGCTACTCTCGAATCGCCGAACAAGAGAAGGTGTCTAACAAGCGTTCAACTGCAAACATCCAAGCATATGAACAGCATATTAGAGTGAAGGAAACCGAAAACTCGTTACAAAATGATTCTTTTCTAATGTCGAATCTACGAAAAGTAGATTTCTCGCCTTCGATAAGTACCAGTCATTTGGGAAGCGAACGCTGAATGCCCTAAGCCAGCATCTAAATTGGCCACCTAATATGTAAATTTCGAAATCCTCTAGTAGTGTGACCGATTTCCTTCAAGAAAATGCGCAAGTGATCAGTTTTCATTTATATATCTGAGCAGCCGATTTTTCATTCCAAACCATCAAATTTTCAAATCGAACGATCGAGAGAGTGCAACATTTATTTCTAGAGATAATTTTTTATATCTGAACTGGTAACCGTCAATTTGAAAAAAAACTAGGCGTTGCATTCATACCAAAGTTTTGATACTAGCTTGAATAAAGCGTACTTATTACTGAAGTTTGTAGTCATTGAAAATCACAGGCTCATAATTATTTCCATATAGTTCAACTATGAAATGACAACTACTTCTTTTTTCCAATTTTTTCTTTTTCAATACTTCAATTTCTGATTCTCTGTTCTCTCTACTTGCTCGCCTCACAATGAGGGCAGTTAATGGGTGGAGCAATGAGCGGTCCCTGGCCTCTGAGATGCGGAGGTGCTAGAACCCTTCTGAGTGCGATTGATGGTGCGAACTTGGTGCGAGAAAAGGTGCTAGGAACTCCTGCACGCCCTCCGAAAATTGATGCTGATTACCTGCGCCGCACGGTCGCCTAGTGAAGGCAAGACTCTGGGGCTGCGTCAGGGCCAGAGAAGGCCATTTCGGATAATTTCTTTAGATTTAATATTCAAGCTTTGTTTATGGAAGGGACATAGTGAAAATTGAAATTTGATGTTTTATGACAGATTTACATTCGTGGATGTAACGCCCATACTTTTCGGCCACCCTGTATATAAGATTAGCTGGCTTTCCCGGTCCAGCCCGAGTCATTGTTCAGGAGGATGTCCAAAAACCATACTTGTTCTTTCCTCCTTCCCACCTTTTTTGGTTCAGCCATATTCTCTGCTCCTTTTCTGCAGTCTCAAAACCGGACTGAAACCTCCCCTCCCTCTTACCCTCTCGCTGGCCTCATCTTGCACAGGTTTGCTGCAGAACGCAAGCGCCGATAAGTTTGGTGTACGGTGTGTGTTTATTTTCACCCACTTCGCTATATCAGGGACGGAACTTTCTTTCTGATGCAGAACTTCCCACCAAAAACACCGCAAGACACTGCTGCACTACAAGCATTTATTAGTCTGCTAGAGATCACTCTTCAATTTACCCGATTGCATTGAGACAAGTCCGAGTATCACATTAACTAGGAAGTGAGCACGAAATTTCTGTAGAAAATGTCCTTCATTAGTAAAATTGACGGATACTGTTTGGACTCCTTCAGAAAAAGCTTCTATAGTGGATACTGAGACATCCAGGCTGTTATCCAGAGAACATTCCTAAAAAATCATGGCGTAAAACATCGAAAAGCGGTAGGTCACAAAAAATCCCATGCTTTTCAGAGGATATAAGGGAAGAGACATTTGCTTTAGAAGGAAAACAAAAGGTTGCGAAAAACTGAAAATCACTCTCTGTCTCGATGACTTGAAGAAACTAATTATGCCATTCTTTTCAATCATTTCATACTTTCAACCGTCACGAAATTCTAAATACTCACCAACTCGACCCTATTCTTGAACTGTTCCGCAAATTCTTTACTAACATTTGCTTCAATGAGAGAGTCATCGCCAGAATAAGCATGTAAGAACTTTATCTGGAAACAATATTTTCAACTTTTATTTCCGATTGGTTCTTTTTGATTACCTCAGGGTGCTCATTAATGATTTTTATGTTAGGTAGCAATTTGTCATAAGCAAAACTTCGCAGTAATCGCAGTGCTGTAGCGGCTGCTTCTCCCGTTGGCACTTTTAAACCCAACATATGATTATATACTAAATAGTTTTGATTGTAGTAGAACACGATGACGAAATTTGATTTTTTGAACCTACCAAAATATAGAAGAGGGTGCAGCATAGAGTTGAATATTTTCAAATCTAGTAATCTAATCGTGATACCAATACGCCAAAATGGTCTCATGGCACGGTGCTCGCGAAGTCCAGCTGAATTTAGCATCACTACACCTCGGACATTACCCTAAAAATAATTTCATTTCTACTAACTCAAACAAGCATTCCTGCAGTTACCAAATTCTTATTAGAAGTAGCTATTTGAACGGCGTTGTCACCACCTCTGGAATGTCCTAATAAATAGAGATCCTTCGAGCCGGTTATACCCACACTATCCAACACAGCTTGGGCGAAAGAATTACGCTCGACATTCTCACATGCGAGGCGAGGATGACCTGGAGAGGAAGATGAGCTTTTGAGTGAGCTGAAAATGATTTTAAAAAATCCTTTTGGATCTATACTATGGTCAGACTCATTGCTGGACACTATTAAAAATGAATAAAAATCACCGCAAATTGCTTTCTTGACCTTGGCTCATTTTCCATAAAGGCTCAGAGGATTCTATGAATCTTGTCCAAGATGAATAAGAGCTTGCAAACAACTCAAATGAGCTGTTGAAGAAAATTGCCTTTCAATGCTTGTGGAAGCAAAAAAAAACGCAATGATCGCATTTCCCTTCGAATTGGAGGACAATTATCGTGAAGGTGGTGCAGATGGTTCCTATTTGAATGCAGCTGTACCAAAAAATTCAGGAGCCAAAAAATGCTATAGTGATTGAAGCAAGTGGATCTATGGCGTCCAACCTACAGTCTGCGCTTTTCGCTTTCTTGATTTCTTCCCTCCAAAATTGAAAGGTGCTCTGATGATACCGAAGAATTTCAAAGATTATAAAGAACGCAAAAATAAGGTGATTTTCGCAGTGATTTATAAGTGTACAGCTCTGTAAAACAACAGTAGACGAGCACTGCAGTACTGCACTGATATGGGTTTTATTTTTTGGGGTTATGGTGCGATCACTGCAGAAAGTAGGAAGCAGAAAGCTCTGGAAAAAGTAAGAAAAGCTGCATCGCACACTCTTCATAAAAGATAAAGAGCACAATTTTGCCCACATTAGTATATGGCATGTTTAGAGGACGTTAGGCCACCAAAAGGGGATTTCTCGCGCGGATATCTGCAACAACCACGCGCCTCTTTGTACCACACCTTGTGACAGCTGTCCGCGCGGGTGGAGGATATTGGCGACATAATGTTCCTTGCCCTATAGCTAATTGTACTCACCCTTCGTAAAACCTTGTCCAGGAAAATTTGGTGAAATCACACGAATCGCATTCTTTCTCAATTTCGGTATCAAGTACTTGAAATCAGCATGAGATCCAGGCGCTCCATGAAGTGCAAGAACAGTGGCTCGTTGACCGCCGTCGGGCATAGTGTCCTTCATCAAATAAAAAAATTAAAAAAAAAACAACATCTTAAATTTTTACCTGATAAATTGCATCTAGTTGTATCATGTCACCTTTAAAGTTCTTGAAATTCACTGGTACCGAGAACAGCATTGAGCTTGCATCATATATAATCCTACCAGTAGCCGCTCTTCTGATAGCGATCTGTAATGAGGACAAAGTTCTCTAATTAAGTGTAAATTAGGGCCAAAATCTCTAACAAAAGGAGAGAACAAAAATATAATTAAATCGGATTTTCATGGTGGAGTTTTCAAATTAGTTATTCTACACTTTTCACCCACAATTACTCGCGGATTTCGCTAGACTTGAAAACCAAATAAGAAGAACAAACAAAACAGAACCTTTCGAAGTCATAGTCAACAAAATGATGGAAAATTGAGAAAATATTCCATCATATTGTTTTACGTTTCAAAAGAATTCTCTCTATGGCTAGCGCTCCAAACGCTTACCATTAGAGTACCTTTGACCCCGCAACGCTTCTCAAAGTTTCTTTTTCTCGATCTTATTCTATTTTGATACTTAATAAAAAATTAGAGAATAAAAGAGCACCGCTTGATAAAACCGCAGCTGGCTCAGATTCTGTCTCACACAGAAACATTACACATTTTTTGCCCCTTTAGATGATTGCGAATCAAAAAGTTATAGTCATCAGCTGAGAAAATTAGAAACTTGATTTTTAGCTGCAACAATTAGGTTGGCCATCAAATATTTCCGTTCGCTTTACGGCTCTCACAGATGTTGTACACAAAATTTTGTCCCCTACCAAGAATCTTTGGAATAAGCACTTCATTGAGAACTGGAATGTAAACTCAATCAAAGTAGAATTTATTTCTCTATGAAAAAAAGAGAGCAGAGGATAGCAATGAAGTTAGATAAGGTTTTCTCAATTATTTAAGAAATTTGTTTTTTCTGAAAGATTCAAAATGACTCCGCAGTTTCTACTGTTCGCTAAACAGAGAAAGCTACTATGTTGCAGATACAAAACGAAGCTTAAAATTCAAAAAAAGTGTGCTTTTAGATTTAGCCATATTGGGGCTTGCTGTAGTGATAGTAGAAAATTCTGTTTAGTTGATATGCGATAGTAAAAACTTCAAATTACTTCCGCTTAGAAAATCATGGATAAAAACACAGTTTCCTCAGAAATTTGCATGCAAAAACAAGATTGTTCTTTAGTCAATAATATTTAGTTCTTGTAGAATGCAAAAACGAAATTAGCTTTACCAAATTAATATTTTAACAAAATAAATATCAGCTTGTAGACTTTGCACCCAATGAGTTGCTATAATTTGAATCAGCTTTGCATGAAAATATAAAGCAATCACTCTAAACTCCAAAACGAACCTACTTCTCGCACGAACAGCACGGACAGTTGGCATAATCGACGTTCAGTTAAAGATAACATGATCTAAGGATTTCTACAGTACTGATGAGCTAAAAGAAACGATGAAACGGTTGCATAACAGATTAAATGAGGCAAAAAACATGGATAAGTTGTACAAACGCAGTCAGAATGAATATGTAAGATCAAAAAATGAAAAATGAAACAGAGATACGTCTCCATACATAGATTATTTCTGGAATTTTTTGTTATTACTATTCTTCATGTGGTAAGGGAAAATTGCGCCGCAGCTGATGCCAGACTATTGATTTGAGAGCGAAGTGTGAGAAGCCGGCTACGAGCGGTTCATGATCGAAATGATTTGTGCGGAAGTGAAAACTAGAGAAAACACGAAAACAAGGTGGAAACAAGAAAAAGTTGAGCGCACGGAGACACTTGCATAGTTTAATCACAAAATTGCAAGGTTCGTCATCAAAATGCATACATGAACATTAAATAAAGAATCATTTTTAAGAAAAGACATGATTATGCGCATCTAAACAGTTTCGAAGGCTCAATCCACTCAAAAAAAAAGACAACGATTCTCTCATGAAAATAATAGGAATAGCCAGTAATTATCACTGCACTCTAAGGACAACTGATAAAAATGTCACTATGGGTAAAACAAGGGGGAAAACTGGGTGGTTATCAACTCTTTTTTCTCCTCCCGGTAGAGCACTTACTTCGAAATCTGCGACAAGCATAGCCACCCCAATCAAACATAACCCCCAAAGCTGTGGTGGCCATAGTTCTGTAATTCTCCAGAAGGCGCAGATCGAACTTGGCAAAAAATCGATAAAATCATCAAGAGTAATGAGTACTTATACAAGCGGTTGTTGTACCGTAAACAGCATGCTCACTTATTCCTTGTACCAATACCAACTCTCAACACCTTATTGTTAGCTCAAAAATTCCAAAAAATCATTATCTATTGGTAACGAAAAGCGAGTAGCTTAAAACACCCGCCCCATCCCAAAGTATCTGTGCAAAATCCAGTCCAGTAATGTAATTTTCTATTCAAAACAAATGTATAGACAGACAGACGACAAGCAGACAGACATACAAACAGACATTCAGTTGTACATATATAATATCGTTTGACCAGCCCTATCGATTTTTGTATAGATCCCCCCTGACCCATGAATCTACAGCTTTTCAACATTAGATTGCTAAATATGTCAATCACAGCACTGAAAACAGACTGTATGGCTTTCCACGTTTGTATCCCATGAAGTAAATTTCAAAACAGCTTTACCATATATAACATTCATTTACATACAGATCAATGTTTAGCAACCATACTCAAAAATCCACTCAAAGACCTATCCATCTCAGAGTCATCTTCTTTCAACAATCGTTCTAAAGCGGATCCCCTGCGCTTTCGATTTCGTTTTCCTTTATCTTGCCTTAAAATTGATATATACGATCTGACATAAAACGTCATAGTTCCAACTCACGAGCTGGTAACTTTCGGAGAAATTAACAAAGGAGCTTTGGGTCGTTTGAAAGGTGTCGATGCAGCACATATGCTATTTTCATCAAATGTTGTTTCAACGCTTGAAAGATCAGTTGTGCTTTCTGAAAAGGACTGGATCCTAGTTTCAGTTTGAAGATTTGAAATGACCAAAAAAACAGTACCTGAATCCTGAGATGCATTCGAACATGAAGGAAGCTGTTCAACTCCACATTCATAAACTTGCCGACAACCGCAGCAGACACCTTGAATGTGTCTCACTTCACTGGAATAACTTTGTTTGAAAGAAAAAATTCTTCAAGCAAGACTGACTCTCTCACACAAACGCTTGCGAACGATGCAATCAAAGCTTTTGAGTTCAACAGTAAGCTCGAAAAATAAAAAATCGGCTCAATATTCGTTAACCTCACTTGCTAGCATTAATTTTTACATCGAAACAGCGTTTATTGCGCAGGTCAAGTCCACATACGGCACAGCTTGCAACATCGCTGCGAAGTTCGGCTGTGGAATTACTCTAAAATCACAAAGATTATCAATTCCATACAAATCTCTCTGTCGTTTGCACTGAGAGTAGTTACGCAAGTGAAAAGGACAATATGATTCTCACATAAAAGCTGAGTATTACTCGCAAGAGCTTCAATTTCCAAACTTTCTCATGTCGACAAACTGTCGAATAGCAACTCACAATCAAGCCTTTTGCTTTACTGCTCCAAGCAGAACTCAGGCACAACGGCAAATCGTTTTCTATAGCATACTTGGCTACTGCTTTGAGATACGAGCTGGTTTTCTTTGCTGTCCTAGCTATTGCAATTTCCAATTCGGCATCGATAGGATTCACCTCCATATGAAATGCAATGTTATCAAGTTGGTAATGAGATTGATGTGATCAAAAACAAAGAGCGTCGTACACGCTTTATACATGCAAATAACATCATTTTCCAGCAACAATTTTATTTCTTCTGGCAACAAATTCAAAGTGAGTAACAGGAAAACAGGAACCACGCGAAAAACCTACGTCTATTGTTAGAAATATTTGATAAAAACAGAGCAACAGAATAGGAGCCAGAGTGAACGGAACAAGATGGTGTTGTTGTCAGATAGTAATTTGTCCCTTAAAAGGAACACCTACTAAGTGTGCGCGCGTGTTTTTGAGTGTTTACTTGTTGTTTTTTCAGTTCATTTTGGCCGCCGACTGTAGAACAGATGACGCCTCTTCAACTTTCGATTTGAACAAATCCATATCTTGTAACATCATGATCAGCTCAGAGTTGTCGATTTCCAGCATCATTCCCGTGATCTTGCCAGCGTCCTTGTGACCAGGGTACAGTCGATCAATGAGAGCGTATATGCGCTCACCAAGCAGTTGTTTCTGCTCCTGTACAAACAGTTGCAGTTATGAGACTCTTTAGTGATAAGCAAAGAGAAAATCAATCTGACAGCGAAGCAAAAGAAATTTACCTGAGGAGCGGCCTGGGCGAGCATATGAGAGGTAAGAGGTTCTTGTCCTCCGACAACAATCCCTTGAGCAATGGGAGCAGGTCTTTGCTGCTGACTCTGAGGGTACTGCTGGAACAGAGGAGCGGCATTTTGCTTTCCACCCGCAGCCTGAGGTCTTTGGCCCTAAAATTCCACTACTTTTGTTCGAACGCAACAAAAAAGAGCAAATGAAAATGATGGAGAAAATTTAGTGCGAAGGCTATGGGTATCCTTGGCCCCTATCTCAATCCTTCTTACCGGATGCTGGCGTTGGCCAGCACCTTGTGCCTGACCGGCAACGCCACCCGGTACCACTCTCTGTCCTGCAAGACGATTTCCACCCTGTACAGCATTCTGAGTAAATTGTTGAGCCCTCATATCTCCAGTGGTTCCTCCAGCACGTCCGCGTCCCTAAAATGTATCATCCAGACAAAATTTTCAACTTTCAATTCTCAAGATTCCTCTGCACGAAATAAACAAACATGAAAAATAAATAATAATATCAAACGAGAAAAAAAAACCAACAAGAAGAGAAATAGGTTACCTGGAACACCGGTCCACCTGGAACGATGTAAGGACTTTGGCCACCGAAGTTGCTCTGCCAGTTGCGTGCGGAACTTCTCATTGCCGTGCCAGCCATGGCTCCAGGAGCAAAACCTCGCTGATTCTATGCGATATTACAGTGTCTAAGGGTGAATCTAACACACTACAGAAAAAGATTGACAAATCTATACCTGTAGGGTGCTGGAGACGAAGTATCCGCCCTGACTTGGCGTATACATGGTGCCGGGAACATTGTTGCTGAGTCTCATGCTTGCCAATCTCTGCATGTACTGCGACGCAAGCTGCGCTCGACGATCTTCTTTGCGTTGCGCCAGAGCTACGTACAACGGCTTTGAGCACACCATTTTCGAGTTCATCTCTGTTACTGCGTTAGTAGCCTCATCGGGCTTCTCGAAACATACAAAACCGAAACCCTTTGATCGACCATTTTCATCAGTCATAACCTAAAAAAAATTCCAAGTAGCGCAACATGCAAATATTTATAAACCAACTGTATACCCGTTTCAAGCCTACCAATCAAAAGCTCAAATTCACCTTGCAAGAAGTAATTTTTCCATATGATTCGAAATGTTTGCGAAGAGCCTCATCATCAACAGTGTCGTCAAGATTTTTTACATACAAATTTACACCCTGATAGCGCTGCATTCGTTCCACCTAAACGAAACTTTCAATACCACGACAGATTAATCAAAACCTAGTTACACAAAGTGAGCTGAACGCGTACAAACACATAAGCTCACCTTTTGAAGGTCATATTTGCGTTTCAATTCGGCGCTACGCTCGCTCTTCTTCTGTGCACGGCATACAACCAATTTGTGGTCAGTACCTTCGATGACGTAGTCGTTCATTTCTGCTACGGCCTAGACAAAACAGATGAGTCATCGAAATGGTGCTGATAGAAAAGCGCGTATTCCTATATCAAAAAGAGGAGCTCCGGGTAGGTATTTAAACTCTATTTAAACTCTCACCCCATTCAAGGAGGGAACGGAACGAAGATTTACAATTACATTTTTTTATATTAACCTGGATCACAACAAATGCCTCATCTTCAAGGTATAAACCTACTCTCCGCTTATTTTCCATGCATTCGAGAATAAAACATAATCGTTCCCCATCCCCCCTTCCCAGATTATGAATGCCTTATTCACACATGATGGTATCGGGTGTATGCCACCAGTATCGTTTCGCGCAGTTCAACTCAAACAAGAGAGAAGCTTCAGGGGGCAATTTCAAGCACTAAGACCAAAGGGTTAACAAACGGAGGAACAAGTAAATGCAAAAATGAAACATTATACAGTAGCTGATAAAATAACCTTCTCGGCCATCTCCGGCTGCTCGTAAGCGACAAATCCAAAACCTTTCGATTTTCCCTCCGCATCGGTCATAACCGCACAGCTAGTGATATTACCAAAAGGCTCGAAAAGCTTTTGGAGTCCTTCCTTATCGAGCGAATCACCGAAGTTTTTTATAAATACGTTTGTGAATTTTTTTGTGGACTCGCCCATCTCGCGCATTCGCTGACTTCTCGGCTGGAACTTTCCTACGAATCTAGAAGAAAAAGGGAATATCCTCAAGTATTATGATTACAGAGCCATAAAACTCACACTTTCTTGCCGGCAAGGAGCATGCCATTGACTTTGTTGATGGCACTCTGTGCGGCTTCTTCCGTCTCAAAATGGACGAAACCGTACCCCTTGCTGTTGCCTTCTTCATCAACGGCAACCTGGAGAACGCGACCAATAAGGCGAAGCAAGTAAGTATTTCTCAACGCACCTTGCATGATAGAATGTTCCCGAAGAGCGAAAATGTATCATAGATGGACTTATTGTCAATGACTTTGTCCAAATTTTTAATAAAAATATTGCCCGTGCCTGATCTTCTGACGGCAGGGTCTCGCTGTGACCACATGATCCGCATCGGTCTGCCATGTAGGATGTCAAAATTCATTGTGTCGAGAGCTCTTTCCGCTAAAATTTTGATCATAACATGAATCTGACATGATATTAAGCTAAATTTATGTCACATCTGGCATGACTTTCACCCTAGTAATGATAACAAAACAGTTACCACATAAAGGCATTTTATCTTGAATGCCCACATTTAATACATCACTATGATAAAGCGCTTTTCAGTTTCAGTTCAGAAACGGTCACAAAAACAAAACTTGAATCTAGCAAGTAACTTCTAAGCGGCATGTATTATCAATCACATCTGCTAAACTTTTCAGACAAAAATTCGCTGCGTCTGCGTTGATGAACTAACAGAATATACTACTAGTCAAAATGGAAACAGAAATTTTTTCACATAATATAGAAAAGGAACCATCCCAACATCAATGTTCTCGTAGAGAGAAAAAAACCATGCAAAGAAAACGTACCGTCTGTTGGTTGTTGGAAATTTACATAAGCATAGCCGAGTGAAAGACGGCTAGCATTGTCGCGACAGACGCGAATGCTCAGCACAGAACCGGCAGTGCTAAATTTCTCGAAAAGCATCGATTCAGTGACATCGGGATGAAGATCACCGACGTATAGAGAAGCCATTGAGTATGATGGCGTGCCGGCAGTGGCATTTGTGACGGATGCGGCCATGTTGTCTGACCCAACTGTAATATAAAAAAGTATTGGATAATTCTCACATGACATACATTTGTGAAGAAAGATAAAGCATGGAATGATTACTGGACAAAAAAGCATGGAGTAATTACTGGACAAAAACGCCTAAGAAATAGCGAACTCTGTAATTTTCAAATAAGAAAAACTGTGTTAGTTGTATATGCACTTCTACGAATCACATGTATAATGATTGGAACTCATAATAAACAATAGCACTCTCCCCACCGTCCGCTGAGGTAGGCAAAAGGGCAAACTAATGTGAAATCGATAAAGTCGATGGTTTCGAAATCGAACGCGAGCGGAACGCGAGTGAGGCAAAAGATACGTGTTCATCGCCGAAATGCAAAGATAAAAAACTGACTATACACTTCCGTCACAAAAATCCAAGAAGCAGCCTCTTATCAAAGAAAAACTACAAAACATCCTATCATAGTCACATGCTAGCATCCGCGAAAAAAGAGCGTTGTCCTAAAAGTGTACGCAATCCAGGGTGGCGCAGACATCTCGGGCTACCGTAGGCGGAATCCGGAAACTCGACTGAGTTCGTAAAGGAAGTAATATGAAGGACAAATATGACTCTCACTAAATTATGGCTATGAGCTTCACTATAGTATGACGACATCATGTCAAAAGCCACTATATTGAATCAAGATGTGCAGCAATGACGCTCTCATGAAAGTTGATAAAAAATCAAAACCAGATTTGTCGAACAAAAACGTTGGAAAGTGATGCAACAGCGTAGCCAGACATGTCTATCCTAAAAGAAGTTAGGAATGCAGCGGAGATGGACATTAAATGCTGCTCTGAAGCAGTTCTAAGGTGAAGCATGTATAGCAAGAAAATTTTAAGGACTCTAAAGATGCAGTAAACTAATATCTAGGATTCAGTATGAATTCTGACCTATAACAGGGTTGCAAATTGTGATTACACTTCTGCGAAAGCAAATAAGTATAAACGCACAAAATTACTTTATAACTAATTATAAAAAGTGTGAAAATGCAGAGTAGCGAACTGGACGAGGCGACGCAACGAACCGGATTTGTGCGAATGAACTTCAAGCTAGATACTACGTGACCTTTATTGGATATTAGCAATTTTGCAAGCAAATAGCGTTTACACAAATAAACTATGCACAATTGAACTGACAAGTAAGCCGCTTGTCGGCGTCTCTTGCGCCAGTAACCATACCCAACTATCAATAAAGGCGATTTGTCCTTGTGCGCGGCAATTCACGAAGTGCATCTAGGAGCACAATTCAATATGAACTGACAAAGTACTCCTACGCCACTACGAATAATTAACTATGTGATTTCGCGCGGGGCAGCTTATCAAGTTCAATATCGCTACTATGAAAAAGAAAGGAAGGACGAGCCTAGAAATCTGTGCAATTCGACTTTCACGCCTTGGCGGATGGAATGTTACTTTCACCTTCAAAGAGAGCGAATTGTTTGGTGACGCGAAATCGGCGAGACAGAGACTTTTATAGCATTCCGATGCGTCATCCACTATATTTAATGGTGTCTACAGATGAGACATCAACTCAAACTTTTTTCGCAATCAAAAATGAGTTTTCTTTGTCGAGACGCAGACTAATTAGATGGTCCGACAGTCCCCACGCCAACTGGGCGGTGCCCAGCAACTCCAGATGAGCTGCCTAACCGGGTGACCGGCGGTTTCCCTTCCCCTCGCATTCTACTTATAAATATATAATAAAGATTCTAGTCATAATGTCATGTTCATATAAAGTAAGATAATCAGGGTGAAGGATTCAAGTCAGGAGAGTGCACCTCTTGGACTTGACATGGAGGTCCCGGGTTGTTTTCTTTTTATGACTCACATTTTCTTGAATCAATCTTCTTTGACCATTTTTTCATATCAAAAAAAAAATTTCTTCTTCTTTAAAAAAAAATTCAAAACAATCAAATCAGCATAGATTTTGGCCAAATCTTTTGCAAACTCCCACCGCCGGCACCAGCCCTCATCTCCTACGTATCTACGTAGCTATTATCTCCTATCTTTTCTTTGTCACCTTATTTTCTCATTTTCTTTCTTATTTCTTGAGTCAGGCGATGAGTTTGAGTTTGTATTCATATGATAATCTCATTTAAGATAACATTTTGCACTTATTGATATTCAATCATTTTTTCTTGCTATTTCCGAGCCGTGATCCCCCGAGCCGTGAAAAAGCGAACCGTGATTTTCCCGACGCGATCTTTCTAGATGAGTCCAACTCTCTAGATTGAGAATCCGCGAGCCGTGATTTCCGCGAGCCGTGATTTCCTAGAGCCGTGATATCCCGGAGCCGTGAATCATTGATATTTTCTTTATGTTTTCCTTTATTTTCAACTGGGAAATCCCAGGTTTTTTTTCACGCGCACATACATAACTCAATGACTCTATCGCCACAGCCGGCATTGTACATATGTAAATAAGGTCTCGCAAGTGGAAAATGCACTGTGAACCAAAATTTTTTTCCCTTTCCAACTGTCACTAGTGGAAAGACCACTGTGATAGCATTTTTTTGACTCTCGCAAGTGGAAAACGCACTGCGAGCCTAATTTTTTTTCATAACTCTCACTAGCGGAAAGACCACTGTGAGAGTACTTTTGATTTTCGTAATTCTCACTAGTGGAAAGACCACTGTGAGAATGCTTTTATTTTTTATGACTTCACTAGTGGAAAGACCACTGTGAATGTACTTTTTCCCGCTCACTAGTGGAAAGACTACTGTGAGCCCATTTTTTTCCAATTTCTCACTAGTGGAAAGACCACTGTGTGCCTTACCAAATTCAAAATCAAGTTCTCACTAGTAGAAAAACTACTGTGGGTCCAATTTTGCTTAGGGGGAGTTTCATAATTATTTATTATGATTGCCTAAGGAAAACCGACGGGCTATCTGATAGCCCGCGGTTACTTCCAAAGGCTACGCTCCCAGTCCCTTATTTTTAATGGCTAATCACTCAGAAACGAGTGACATTTAGCCGCCAGAAGTAGGCACATGCTGCGGCAGTGCCCTTTGAACCTCGTATCCCATCGACGAATGTCTGGGCCAGAGGTATGCGGCAACTGTTTGATGCTGATTAGCCACTATGGACTCTGGCTGGATCAGCGTTTTTATGGAAGCGAGGAAGGACCAACAGAACTCATGGAAAACTTTCCTACAACTCTACTCGCACATCCATAAGAGGTATGCTTTTCTAGTCCTTGTCTGTGTTTTTCTGGTTTACCTTTGTACGCTTATTTGAAAAAAAAAGTTCAAAAAAAAATCCAACATAGGTCACCCATGTTTGAGTCTTTGAGAAATTGTGGAAGAAGAGTACTGCACTAGACTTGCGTTCAACCACCTCAAATTGACATATCAGCATGACTTTAGATTGGTTCCAAGAAAAAACCTCATGAATCACGATGATCAGACCCCATACCACGATGATCAGCTAAATTCGCTAACTCGTGATTTCAGTCTGCTTTGTCTGCTGACAGAATTGAGGCAAACATAACGAAAATAAGTTTTTTCGAATAAAACGGTATTTTCAGAGAATACCATGAGTTTCAATGAGGTCACGAAATTGGGACTATATGAAACTCTTATTCATCGAAGTTGTTCAGTAAATGGTTGATTGATTGGCTCACAACCTTCAAAATGTTGGCACAACATTCTTTGAATACAAAAAAAAACTTTTTTTTGTCAAAAAAATGCCTTTTTTGCTATTAGAAGTTCAACGAACCCAGCAAAAAAAATTCCCTCAAAAGATCTGCATCTGCATTCTAGCCATGCACTATTCTAGCCATCTTCCTTTGAAAATTTATTTATTTGAAAAAAAAAAACAAAAAACAATTGTTTGCGCCAGTTTTCAATCATTTCGACTTCTCACGTACTTTTGTCCTCTTTCAAGACATAAGATGGCACTATTTGATTGCATAATGTAAAACCTTCCATCATCGTTTCGCAAATCATACAGTCCTTTCATAACCTTGCTGCAGTTCCATCTGCTAGTTTGTGGGAATTTCTGATAAAGCTGAGAAAATATGAAAAAAAAATTTTCCTGCTCTATCTATGAGCACATCTTAACACGATCTCCAGCAACCAAATCATCTCCATTCTGGACTTTGGACAGCCTTTTGTCTCACTACCATTTCTCCTCATTCAATCATAATCTTGCAAGGAAGAAATTTGCGATTCTAGGTAGAGCTGGAGCTAAAAAAAAACTATTGAAAAAAAAAAACAATTTTTGTTGCTCTTTTGATTATTCTTACCGTCCGAGAATTCCGCTGTACGATATAATGGCACATTTGAATTTTGCATTTGAATTCTTAGTTTTCTTACGAGTTCATTTTGTATGAGCGGACTCATGATTACATTTAAAAAAAAGTGATGCTCAACAATCCGATATTTTGTTCATGAGTGGCAAAATCCTTCTGTGAAAAAGCAGACGTCTACTATGTAGTATTTGCATTAATTACGGACAAATCACAGCTATTTTTAAAAGCCAGTCGCTACTATACGCTCCTCGTATGGATAAATTTGCTGTTCATATCACAAAAGCTAATGACTACACAATACTGATTCATTACCTAGAGCGTCAGTACGTTCGCGACAGACTTTCAGATAAGCGGAAGCAAGAATAAGAAGTATACAACCACCCGAAGAGAGATTGCTTCCTATTTGATATCTCCAAATAACTACTCCATTGAAATCCTTGTTTATTTTCGCCTACATGTCGTCAGTGTTCCCATTTCGAGTGTATTCACCGCTATTATACTATTATTATTCGCACCCTGATCGAGTTTCAGTCCACACTCAGATGTTCAGAGCATCTAAGAAAGACAGAAACTATGCATGTGCCCCATTGCAACTGTGTTCACCTTTGTATTGCAATTGTTTTGCTATAAGACGTTCAGAGCGTCTGAAAAGACTGGATATTTTGAGTGCCAGTAGCAAACTCACATTAATTCCAAATACGCAGCGGCTACTGGCAGAGTAAGTTTGCCG